GGGTTTGGGGCTGAGGGTCGAAGGCATCTAAGCCCCTGAGCCCCGAACCCCCTCAAGGCCAGGGTTACAACCCCATTGCACACATCAGTTCTTGACAAGTTGTGATTCCTATGCGCGGCACTCTGTTAAGACATGTAGCATGTTCGGTTTTGCAAGGTTAGCGAACGCCAAAGCCTATAAGCCCTAAACCCCAAACCCTAAACCCGAAACCCTAAACCCCAAACCCCAAACCCTAAACCCCAAACCCTAAACCCTAAAACCTAAACCCTAAACCCTCAACTCGAGCAGCGTTGCCTTCACGGTGCGAAGCCGAGGCTGCACAAAGCCCGGCCCGCACCGGTCAGAGCCCTTGCGGGGCTCGAAGCTAGGGTGTAGGGTTTAGGGTTTAGGGTTTAGAGTTTAGGGTTGAATTGAAGGTTGAGGGCTGAGGGTTGAGGGTTTAGGGCTAGGATTCAGGGCTGGAGGATTCTCAGGCTTAGGGGGGTTTAGCCGCTTGTGGGGAGTGTGTGTGGTGTTTAGACTGTTGTGTTTTAGTTTTCTGTTGTTTTTGGACTCGTTTAGGCATTGGTTTTGTTGTTTGTGTGGTGTCTTGGGTTGGTTAGACTCTTCGCCCTCCGTGGGATGTTCCCCCTTATGCTACAAGGAGGGCCCCTTACTATACTAACTAAAGTTAAGGGACTTAGAACCTAAGTTAGGATCCTTATAACACAATTTAAGGTCCTTATAACTCTACTTATAGCCAGGGGGGCCCTTCCTTGTAACAGTCCTTGGCAGGGGTTATGGTGCAAACCCAGGTACCTTGGATGCTCCCATCCGGGCAGGTGGCGCAGGCTCCATGTTTTCTAGGGCCAGGATTTGTAGGACTGATGGACCAGGGTTGGGATTTTTGCCCCTTATACTAGCAGTTCTCATGGGGGGTACTACATGTCCCTATGAAGGACTGTTAGTGTAAGGGGGAAACATCCTAAGACCAGTGCTGAGTGTTTAGGGTTCGGGCTTAGGGTTGAGGCTTTTTTCAGGTTTGGGTGCAGGGGTTTTCCTCGTCATATCTTCAAACATAAGTTCATGATGAGCTGTTTTGGGTTGCCGCTTTCCCTTGCCTCACTCAATTCGGAACCTATGATCCCTTAGCCTAGATCCTGCGCTTTAGATGCGCTATCTCCATGGTTCTTCGCTTAGTTTAGGGGCCGTGTGTGTATACCTATTGCTCCAAAAAGCCCAAAGTAGGTATTACGTACAGACTTTAGACCCCAATGTAGGTGTTATTTGTATACTTGGAGCCCTAGGGTATTCAGGAAGGTAGTTTCTCTCATAAGTATATGGAGAATGTTGGTAAATTTTCGGTGCCTGTATTACGTTCCATTCGCTGTGGCATGGCTCAGATCTGAATTGGATACGCATAGTTGGCAGCGTGCCCCCGGCCAGAAGGGTGTGAGGGGCGAACCCGAAATCCCTAAACCCTAAACCCTAAACCCTAAACCCTAAACCCTAAACCCTAAACCCTAAACCCTAAACCCTAAACCCTAAACCCTAAACCCTAAACCCTAAACCCTAAACCGCCCATGAACCTCCCACCCCCCATCAGCCTCAGCAAGTAGCAAGCGGAACGTAGACGATTTGCAGCTATGGCAGCTTCAGAAAGGACGCCGTTGCTCTGTGCCCAGAGACCTACAGGTAAGATAACGGGGGACCCTTAGCAGGGAACTCTTCCTCACCCTCTTCTGGCTCTCTTAAACAGGGCGACTCGACACTGGTACTGGGTGGGGACGGGCGCTTCTACCTTATTCAGAGGGTCTATACCCCAACGTAGGGTTTAGCGTTTCGTGGTGAGCCTTCGACAGGCATTGCTGGTTCAGGGTTCGGGTTTAGGGACTCAAAACTGCCCGTCTAGATAGCCTATGAACTCTTAGTCATAGTTATCATTATCTCCTTCTTCCTCCTCCTAAAGATGATAAAAGTCATGTTCTTTCTCACTCAGCCTGAAACCCTGAAACCCTACACCCTAACCCCTAAACCCTAAACCCTTAGACCCTAAACCCCAAGCCCTAAATCCACTTGAAAGATGGGCTTGGGATGCTCTGGTTCCGACTGCTGCCACGCAAACACTACCAGATCCTTGCAACAAAGTTGCGACCTGGAGGAGTTTTGGGGTTTGGGGTTTAGGGTTTAGGGTTTGTTTGGAGGGCTGAGAGGGTTTATGGTATAGGGTTTAAGCCCGCAAGCCCTAAAGCCTAGTCCGTGCTCTTGTTTAATTGGTGCCCCCCCCCCCCCCCCCCACAATAAGGAATGCAGGGTTCCGCAATTGTTGGACCATGGCCCTGTATTGATTCTCTATTAAAAACAATAAGAGTGTATTGAAAACAATAGGAAGGTATAGAATCTCTATTAGGTCCGAAGACACAAAAAAGGCCGACGATCAGATTTTGCAAAACCCCCCCAACAAATTTCTTTATATGTGGGGGTTATGTCCATACCAAATCCACCGTAATGGAAAGTAGTCTTCCGGCGGGCTTCCGGAGAAAACAAAGTCTTTTAATATGGGGGGTTTAATTAAACAGGTGCTCGGATTAAAGTCTAAGCTTTGTAGACCCCAAGAAGCCCTAAACCCTAAACCGGTGACCACGGCTTGCATACCGAGGCTGCCCAGGGACCCTCTGAACCGCACAGCGGAGGAGCTGTGTCCCAGGCAGGGGGGTTTAGGGTTTAGAGTTTAGGGTTTAGGGTTAGGGTTTAGGGTTCAGGGTTAGGGTTTAGGGTTTTGGGTTTAGGGTCTAGAGGGCCGGATCCAAAGGCCACAGTGCAGCCCCGAGAGTTCGGGCTGTGCAGGGATGGGCCACTAGACTCCCTAAACCCTTTTTTGCCCCTAAAACCAGAAGACCCTAAACCCTAGCCCTAAACCCTAAATCCTAAATCCCTAAACCCCAAGCCTAAACCTCTAAATCCATCCCTAAATTCCTTAGGTCTCCTAAGTGCAGCCCAGTAGAACCGTAGTTGCTGCAATCATAAGCCGCCCAAAAAAGTGTACACTTTCAGTTCTATAGGGGGTTGTAGTATCCCAAAAAGTGTAAAGTGCACTCTTTCAGCTACGAAGGCTTCGTTGTAGGGTTTAGAGAGCCCCGAGCAGTGCATAGCGTTTGAGATCCACGATCCGACCATCCATAAACCCTAAACCCTAAACCCCATACCCTATACCCTATACCCTATACCCTAAACCCTAAACCCTATACCCTATACCCTATACCCTACACGCTAAGCCCTAGCCCTAAACCCTAAACCCTCAACCACCTTGAAAGCGGGCAAGCACTCAAGCCAAGTGCCTTCATCCAAAGCCACGGCACCTTCACCTTTCCACTCCCCCCTCGCCCCCAAGCCCTAAACTCTCCCAATTGCCAAACCCCGAACCCCCAAAACCCCTCAACCCCAAGTTATGATTCCAGGGCCCTAAACCCCAATCCCTAACCCCAAACCCTAAACCCCAATCCCTAAACCCTAAACCCTAAACCCTAAACCCTAAACCCTAAACGTGCCCGAGACCTCTATCCCCCAAGCCCTGGGCCGCCAGAACGGCCCGGCAAGAGCAAGTTGGGGCTTTGGAGGGTTTAGGGTTTAGGGTTTAGGGTTTAGGGTCAAGGGTTTAGGGTTTAGGGTTTAGGGTCAAGGGTGTAGGGTTCACGGTTTAGGGTCTGGCGTTTAGGGTTTAGGGTTAGGGGGCGTGCTTTGCAGTCTCAACATAGACCGTCCATTCGGTGTTACAAGTGAAAGCCACCCTGCTTCCTAAACCCTAAAGCCCTTCAGAATGGGGTAACTTGTCATGATCATCGGGTCTGCTTGCCCATTGTCTCTTCGGGGTTAAGCCCTATAATAGCTTGAGCCCCCGAACGCCTAAACCCTGTACCCCTAAACCCCAAGCCCCCTAAACCCTACACCCTAAGCCCTAAGCCCTAAGCCCTAAGCCCTAAGCCCTAAGCCCTAAGCCCTAAGCCCTAAACCCCAAGCCCTTAAACCCTAAATCCCAAACCCTAAGCCCTAAACCCTAAACCCTCACCGTTTCTTTGCGCCAGGTCGCCCCAGGATGGGTTGGGACCTACAACGCTGTGCCCCCAGGATGCTTGGGCGCTGTAGAGTTTGGGGGCCGAGGGTTTCGGGGTTTAGGGGCTTGGGGTTTAGGGGCTTGGGGTTATAGGGTTTAGGTAGAATTTCAAGCCGTGCACTGATCTTCCCGTTATTTTACTGCATGTTGAGCCCTGGTCTAAACACAGGGGGCCGTGTTTCGCTAAGGATCAAAACAAGGGCCCTCATTTAGACAACTGACCGCATGCCGACGTCTCCGAAAAGCCCTCCTAGGAAGGTTTTACACACAGAAAGCCAGGTCTCAAGTTTCCCCGAGCGGCCCTGTAGGTACGATCTTAGGTTACAAGTCCTCCCCCAGGTTTTGGAGTACTACACTTTAATACTTTTTGTTGGTTCTGGGTTCCTCTAATAGCTACTTATACCTAAAAAGGTATATACTTTTTTCCCAGGGTCTACTCCAAAGCTAAGCCTAAACCCTAAACCCCAAACCCTAGACCCTAGACCCTAAACCCTGAACCCTGAACCCTAAACCCTAAACTCCCTAAGCAACTTGAGCCTTTTGGGTTCGTCCCTAAAGCCTGCAAGGGCAGCAAGAAGGCCCTTCACGGAAAGCGCCCAGGCCAGCGAAGCCTTCCGAAGGCACAGCACAGCAAGGCCTGTGTTTCTTTTCCTTGAAGGGGGAGGGGGAGGGGAGGGGTTTAGGGTTTAGGGTTTAGGGTTTAGGGTTTAGGGTTTAGGGCTTAGGGGGCACTTAAGGGGCTTATAAGTGGGTTATAAGTACAGTTCCCATTGGTTGATACGTACCATGAACCTCCAAGTAAACCCTGCGGGAGCTCCTGCATGCTCTTGCGTGCTTGCTCGGCATGTGGCCCAGATCCCGGTATTGCGCCCTGACCTTGGAAAGGACGTTCGGCGATAGTTTCTCCGCCATGACCCTGGAGTTGGAGTACCGTTTCACCTTCATCGATGTGAAGGAGGACTTCGAGGACCATGTGGGCCGTTCCAGCAAGCCCCGCGCGCAGAGCTCCCCCCCCGGCTTGCAGGGGCGTCATATCAGCCCGGAGGCTGCCAGCGAGGAGGCCTCCAATCGCAGCTACGTGGCCAGCCTCTCCCAGAAGACCGCGGACCTGACGAATCAGCTTGGGCAGGGCGAGACAAGGAGCCCTCAAGGCCAAGAGGGCGGAAGGCTGCCCAGCCCAGGCAGCCTCGGACACCCGGAGGTGTGCCGGCGCCCATGCATCTACTTCATCGCCGGGCACTGCGAAAATGGCCAGGGGTGCACCTTTTGCCACATGGAGCACGCGCAGAAGACGCCGAAGCTCGACAAGAAGCAGCGCCACCTCATCCAATGCCTCAGCTCTGCTCAGTTCATTGAGCTGGTGATGCACACCTGTCGCAACAAAGCTGAACAGGCGGGCTTCCTCGAAGAGGCTAAGGCGATCTTGGACTTAATGGCGGAGGAGTCCGGAGGTGCGGGGCCTTTGGCCGACATCCTTGCGGACCGCGACCTCCACCACCTCAAGAGGATGCTGGCGCGGATGACTTTCTCGAACCTAGGTAGGCACTTGGGACATCTTATGATTTTCCCTACTGGCTTGAAGAGGGATCCTCTTCAGGAAGATCTTTCAGAGATTCTTATAAAGCCCATCCTAGGAACCTGATCGGCCTGGTGACGAACCAGTCCCGGAACCGAGAGAGCACCAAGCCCAGCGCCGACCTCTTGGCCGCACACCTGGAGCGACTCCGCGAACACTTCCTGCCGGCGAGCGGATGAGTCCAGGGGCTATACAAGGAGGGGCCCCCCTTTTTAGGGTTTAGGGTTTAGGGTTTAGGGTTTAGGGTTATACTAACTGTGGTTAAGGGACTTAGAACCTACTTGAGGATCCTTAGAACCCAATTTAGGGCCCTTAGAACTCTACTTACAACTTGGGGGCCCCTCCTTGTAGGAGCCAGCCGAAGAATACCGGACATAGTGTAGACTGAATGCATGGGGTCATTCAGTGTCGTCGGGCCATTAGTCAGGCTCTTGCAGGTTCTTGCGGATTTCCAAGAGCTTCCGCGGTCCAGGGTGCAATGTAGTCAGGTGTGCTGCAGAGTGTAGAGATGTGTGAGGATACTGTGTGCTGTGTGCACCACCTTGGGCCAGGGAGACATTTTGTCGGACACTGCATGTCCATGGTCAAGTTACTAGACAACTCGAGATGACACAAACTACCGCCACGTCGGTTGTGAGACCATGGCTCCGCACTGCCCGTCCGCAGACTGTTAGTGTGCCTGCTTCGAGTTGCTTATACGTGGTCCACTTGCTGCACGAATATCGCGCGCAGAAGGAGCCATGCTTTCAGATCCCTACCCACTTGCGACAGTCGCAAAATCAAGCAATCACTGTATTGACGGGACTTGACATGTTGAGCCCTTTCCTGTACCCTACACGATACAAGGAACGGATACCTTTTGGGATGTTCGCCCTTGCATTAACAGTCCTTAGTAGGGCAATGCGCAGCCTTCTACGTAGGGTGAGGACGGACCAAAGCCCTTCGAGCCGAAACCCAAGATCAACAACCCCTTACTCCTAAACCCTCAACCCTAAACCCTAAACCCGAAACGCTAAACCCTAAACCCAAGAAGTCCCTAATTGATTTCTGACGAGTGCTCCGCCCTGTGCCAGGCCAAGCCCAGTCTCAGGACCTGCGCGTGGTTTAGGGCTCCTGGGGTTTGAGGACGTCTGTGCTGTGGGGCCATAAACTTTGGGTGTAGGGTTTAGGGGCCTTTTAGGGTTCAGGGTTTAGGGTTCAGGGTTTAGGGTTTAGGGTTTAGGGTTTAGGATAAAGCCTGTAAACCCTAGAACACCCTGTAAACCCTTTAAAAGCCTTATAGCACCCTATAAGCTCTATGAACCCTACAATCCTAACCTGCAAGCCGAAGCCACCAGGACGCTGTGTTTTTGTTGAACTTATTTCGGGGGGGGTTTAGGTTTGGGGGCTTAGGGTTTAGGGTTATAGGATAAAATTCAGACCTCCTTAAAGAAGAAAGAAAGAAGGTGAGCGTGCTGACCAAGACTTTCTTGGGGGACAACGGGTGGCAGTTAGTTGGGCATACTTGGCAACCAAGGGACTAACAGGAGGAGCCCTTATAAGGTCGTTAGGTTGTTTTTTTGGCGGGGGGGGGGGGGGGGGGGACTAGGGGCTAATTAGGTATATAGGGTCCATATATAAGGTATATGTATATATACATACATGTATGTATGTACATATATGTAGGTGTTATATAGAGGGTCTCTTGTAGAGGTTCCTCCGTATACCCCTTAAGGCAAGGTTCCCAGCTTCTAGTTTCAGGGCCCTAGTCAATCCTAAACACTCAACCCTCTGGCCAGTGTTTGAGAGGGGTGTCCGTGTAAAAGCCTAGACAACCTATAGAGGATACCCTCTGAACCTATAAACGCCCTATAAAATCCTGTCCAAACTGTAAAGAATGTATAGACACCCTAACCCTTGAGGAGCTCTTCTCTTGGTGGTGCCTGGTTGGTGCAATGTGCGCCGTGCCTCGGGCTCAGCTGCGGGGGGCGCTGATCGGTCTGTGGCGGGTCGTGCGAGAATCTGCGTCCCAGGATGAGTTCTTCTGTGTAAGGCTTGTATAGGGCGTTATCGGGTTTAGGGTTTAGGGTTTAGGGATGGGGTTTTAGAGAGTCTATAGTCTTGTAGAGTTGACAGGGTTTGTGGGGTTTATAAGGTTTACAGGTCATAGAACCCACCATTGTAGGACAGGGTATTATGGCCCATCCCGGTCAGGATGTACAGGTAGCTCAACCCTAACCTCTGCCAGAGGGGGGTTTGGGGGGGGGGGGGGGAGGGGGGGGGGGAGAGGGGGGGGGGGAGGGGGGGGGGGGAGGGGGGGGGGGGGGGGGGGGGAGGGGAGGTCGGGACGACGAGCCAAAGAACGGAGTTCCTTTCGACAGGTCGGCCTTGTTTTAAGCGGCACAGCTTGACATGGCTCTAAACCCTAAACCCTATTACTAAACCCTAAACCCGAAACCCTAAACCCTAAACCCTAAACCCCGAAAAGGCCCAAAACCCTAAACCTGCTTTGAGCTGACAGGCTGATACCCCTGGCGTTGCTCTTAGCTTGGCATCTGCTGCACCGAGGCACCGCAGATCCGCAGATGAAAGGTAGGGTTTAGGGTTTAGGGTTTAGGGTTTAAGCTGTAGGGTTTAGGGTTTAGGGTTTAAGGTTTAGGGTTTAGGGTTTAGGGGTTAGGGGTTCCTTTGTGATGGCCACCGCATCCGGACCCCTACAGCTGCAGTCAAGCACCAAGAATCACAACATGATCTTCACCTCCTTCAACGCTTCCCACCTTAGCGCCTCAGAATCCGGTCCCGAAGCCCTAAACCCTAAACCCTAAACCCTAAACCCTAAACCCTAAACCCTAAACCCTAAACCCTAAACCCTAAACCCTAAACCCTAAACCCTAACCCTAAACCCTAAACCCTAAACCCCATGTCACAAGTGACCTGGGTGTCCGCAGATCTCGTCCGGTACGTAGTCATGGTAGTGGCTCTACAACCCGTAAACCCTAAACTGGCAAAACTGTAAGCCATGAAACCCTAAACCCTAAACCCTAAACCCTAAACCCTAAACCCTAAACCCTAAACCCTAAACCCTAAACCCTAAACCCTAAACCTTCTAAATCCAACACAAGAAACGGGGGCTGGGGTCCTGCTTCTCCCGTTTTTACCCCCTGAATCTTCTAAAGCAATTTCCTGATGTTTAGCCTAGGGCTTCGTTGAGTTCAGGGCTTCTTTCTTGGCCGTGAGAGCCTAGCGACTTTAATCTTGAACCCCTGAACCCTTTAAACCCTGCCGAAGCTTGTTGAGGGATATAATCCCCTCCCCCTAATATTAACCCCCCCCTACCCCGTAATATCAAACACCCCCAATATACAAGAATATAACTATAATGGAGGGGTATTTAATATTCGGGGGTAGGGGGCTGGGGGGAGGGGATAATAAACAATAGCGACGGTTCCAGGGAAGGGGTTGAACTGATTCTTGGCCAGGCCGCCACGATCACCAGGCAGGGTTTAGGGCTTAGGGTTTAGGGCTTAGGGCTGAGGGTTTAGGGTTTAGGGTTTCGGGTTTAGGGTTTCGGGTTTAGGGTTTAGGGTTTAGGGTTTAGGGTTCAGCGGACAGGGCCTGAGCTGAAGGGCTTCGAGGTTTTGTTGCATTTTGCGAGGGGTTCGGGTGCATGGTGTATCGGCTTTGGGGCCACTTTAGTGTTTCAAGGCTAGTGCCCTAAACCCGAAACCCGAAACCCTAAACCCTAAACCCCTAAACCTCTAAAACCCCTAAACCCCTAAACCCGAAACCCTGAACCCTAAACCCCTAAACCTCTAAAACCCCTAAACCCCAAAACCCCTAAACCCCTAAACCCCTAAACCCCTAAACCCCTAAACCCCTAAACCCCTAAACCCCTGAACCCCTAAACCCCTAAACCCCTAAACCCTGACCCCGTGCCACCATCTTCAGCACGTGGTTCGGCTCCGTTAGCGGGGCCCTTCAGGCTCAGAGACCCTAAGCCCTAAGCCCTAAACCCTAAACCGTACACCCAGGGTGAGGGTTTAGAAGGTCTTGGCCTGATTCCCCTTTGTGTTTAAGTTTATGTGCCCTTATAGGCCCCTTCAAACCAACAAGGGCACCCTTTTGTATTCCTAGGTTGCTCTTGGGTCTAGCACTCCGAAACCCTAAACCCTAAACCCTAAACCCTAAACCCTAAACCCCTGAACCCTGAACCCTGAACCCTAAACCCAAAGTATTCCTAGGGTACTCTTGGGTCCAGCTAGACTACTTCCCAGAGACCCTTAGAACCCCAAACCCTGGAACCCTCAAAGCCTGAACCCGAAGACCCTGACGCCCTAAGCCCAAAAGTCCATGAAACCCTAAACCCTAAACCCTAAACCCTAAACCCTCAGGGCTTAGGATTTTTTTAAGATTTTGACATCGTTGGCCGGACTACCCCGGCTGTCAATCTGCAGCCTCGCTGGCTCCTGAGATGAGGTGCGGGCATGAGGTTTGCCCTTCTTTGGCATCTTTAGTGTGTACAGTTTAGGGTTTAGGGTTTAGGGTCTGGAATTTAGGGTTTGGGGTTTGGGTTTTAGTTTAGGGCTTAGTGCGCTTAGATGAAATCATGATCATAATATGTGAATAGCTCCTCCGAGTTTCAACTCGCCTCAGTCTCAACTCTAAGCAGTGTGTTTAATATTTAGGGTTTAGGGTTTAGAGTTTAGGGTGTAGGGTTTAGAGTTTAGGGTTTAGGGTTTAGGGTTTCAGGTCCAGAGTTGCCCTATGGAAGTCTTCAAGCCTTTACTAGGACCCGGGGCAGGCCCTTCTTTCCTTTTTTTAGGGTTGGGGTTCCCCTATCATCCCCTTAAAACCAAAAAGGGCACCCTTTTTATTCCTAGGTTAATCCTGGGTCTCGTATCCCAAAACCCTAAACCCTAAACCCTTTGTATTCCTAGGTTACTCCTGGGTCTAGATTTTCTGTTGAGTGCCAGCGATGCAAGACAACGCCTCCTTGCCACAGCTCCCGCGCGAAGTGGTCGTTCGTGTCTTCGAAAGGCTGCCAATACTCGCCTTCCTTCGGGGCGCCGTTGCGACCTGTCGCCAATTTTCCTTGAAGTGGTACTTGGGGCGGAGTTTCCAAAACGTGGTTGTGGTGCCGGATGAGGAGCAAAGCATCAATGCTGCCATGAACCGGCTGGCTCGTGAAGGCTATGCTGGCCAAGGCCTTGTCCTAGTCCGTCCTGGCTTATACTCCGAGACCGTCCGTGTGACCCAGAATTGTGACTTGGTAGATCTCGCTAGCCCAGTGGTGCACTTTTGCCCCCTGTTTTTGGAACTCCAAACAGGGTACCCTTATTGTAATATGGTTACCCCTGAACCCTAAACCCTAAACCCCTCAACCCCTCGACCCTAAATCTTTAAACCCTTTAACCCTAAACCCTACACCCTGTAATTAGCCTTAGAATATAAAGGGTCCTAAGTACCAATATGGGGGAAACTTACCAAAACCATAATATGAGTTCCTATTATGGAAACCCTACTTTCTACGATGTAGGTACCTAGGACCCTTTGCGTGTGCTACCGAGGCTGTGTAACCTAAACCCTAAGCCCTAAACCCCTCAACCCTTAACCCTTTACCCTAAACGCGTTAACCCTAAACCCTGTAGCCTTAAAATTTGTGCTAAACCGAGGCTATGTGCTGGGTTTCGGGCCATGCCATGACGTGATCGTGGAGGCTCCCGGATGGGAGAGTGCCCTCGTCTCAGCAGGTCTCGGAGGCTACCACATGCCTAAGATGCTGGGCTGCTTGGTAGCCCAGTGGTACCCGTTTGCCCTTTTTTGGGGTTCAAGGTTCCTTTAAAAACAAGCCCAAACAAGGTGCCCTTGTTTTAATATGATTCCTGGGCAACCAAGGCTTCGGTGGCTTCACTTCTGGGGAAGCTGCCTGCGTTGAGAACATCACCTTCCGATGCAGGAATGAGCAGATGCGCGGACGGTGCGTGTACATCGTCATGGGTCAGTTGCACCTGGTCCCTTGGGGACCACATGAGCCCTAAAAGGCCTTATGGTCCACACACCTTAGAATGGGAACTATTTTATAGTAAAGGGTATATTGCCCCCCCCCCAATTTAAGAATTATATAGTAGTTAAGCGTATATGCCCCCCCCCCCCCCCCCCCCAATTTTAAGGCTAACATGTCGTCCCCCAAGGTCAGGTGCACCGTGGATGGCGGCGTCTTCGTGAGCGGCGCCCGCACCTCACCCCAATTCAGCGAGTGCCGCATTCGCAGGTCGCGCGGCAATGGCATGCGCTTCACCGACCACTCTTGCGCAATGCTCAAGCGGAGCTACGTGGAGCACCATGGGGGCCATGGGGTTCTCATTGAGCGGAATTCTCAGCCAAAAATTGCTGAAAGCTCGATATGTGGCAATGCTGGCTATGGTATCCGAGTCTACTGCGGAAGCAACATGCTCCCGAGCAAGAATGTGCCACTGACGCCGGCATCTCTGCATAGTATTCAGAACAACTACTTCGAAGGCAATGAAACTGGTGAGCTGTCACTGACTCCACGCTTTGCTGACCGTGATGTAGACTAAACGCAGATCTGCTGTGTAGACAGCACGGAGTGAGGGCCCCCTTAGATCTCGACAAATGTAGAAGGTCTGAGTTGGGATTCTACAAGTCCCAGCACATGGGTTGTAAGTCCCTAAGGTGCAGTTCGAACAGAAATGGGGCCCCTCACTGTAGATGGCACCTCTGCAAACCTTGCCTGCAACTCCAACGCTCCAATCAGCTTAAGATCCTAAGCCCACTAGGGCCCTCGAAAAATCGGGCCTCTCCAGGGCTTCTCTGAGGTATTTTACGCACCTATCCCCCTAAACTCTACAGGGCTCAGGGCTTAGGGTGTACGGCTTTGGCCTTAGGGTTTAGGGCTTAGGGTTTAGGGTTTAGGGTTTAGGGCTTAGGGCTTAGGGTTTAGGGTTTAGGGTTTAGAGTACCTGGCTACTTCACAAGCCTGTGGGCTCCTTGAGCCACACCATCCTCGGCTCCTCGACCCTATCGTTTCTTATCCCCCTGGTGCTTAGTAGGGAATGAGGGAAGGAGGGCCCCATAGATGCCCTTTAAGGGAGTGTATATATATATATGTATATGTATATATATATATATAGGGTCCCTCATTCCCTACTGAGAACCAGGGGGCTATAAATGTCGTATGTACTGGCGCACACATGTTTATGCTTAAATGTGATTGTACGTATGCATATATATATATATATTTTTTTTGTTTATTTATTTATGTATTTATTTATTTATATTTCTTTATTTGTTTAGAGAGTGTAGGTTTTACTTTCTCATCGTAGATGCTCTGTCGTGTCGGAAACATTTCTGGTCATCCTCGTTGCGTAGGGCGTTGGAGGCGTCTATGGAGGGTTTCTAGGTGCCACTAGCAGGATGGGCTATTAGGCCTTTTACTCCCCATAATGAATCCTAAAAAGGGCCTTTTCAGGGATTATTGATTATAGGGTATAGTAGCCCATCCTGGTAGACCTGCAGACCGTACCGCCTCTCTTGCCGCATGGAGAAATCAGCTGGGGAAGGAGGTTAGAGGGTGCGGGAAATGTGGGGAATCCCAGAGCACATTCGTGGGGTCTATATGGGAGGGTTCCTCAAGAGGCAAAGCCCTGAAAGCCAACACAAACCGACGCGTCAGGCTTCGGAACTCTGAAGTTTCAGTCTTGACATTCATACGCTCGTTGCGTGTATCTCCATGCAGCTCCACTTCCCAGGCCTTGAAGCCAAAGTGCCATGGCAACCCTAGACCCACCACGGGGTGTGGCTAGGGGTCGCCCTAAACCCTGAACCCTGAACCCTGAACCCTAAACCCTAAACCCTAAACCCTAAACCTTAAACCCTACCTAAACCGGGGAGTCTGGAGACCGCCTGTTAAGGGGGATCAGAGGTGGGGAAGCACGGGTGTCAAACGTGGACAAGAGGGGTTTCGGGGGTTTCACACTTCAAGAAGCTTATAGCAGATCCCAGAAGGGTTTGGGGTTTTGTGAGTTAGCGTTTAGGGGTTAAGGAGGGTTCAGGGTTTAAGGGTTTAGGGTTCCAACAACCCGAACTCGCAGGGCGCGAGCCTCCTCCAGTCTCTGGTGCAGCTCCACCAGTCTTGGCCGCACCCCGTCAGGCAGGGGGGCCTAAAGAGGTGAGTCCTGAACCCGATTGTTAAACCTTGGCATGTTCCCCCCTTATACTAACAGTACTTAATAATTAGAGATTATAGTACCCAAATGATCTAATCCCTATTAAGGACTCTTCGAAAGGGGGTGAACCTAAACCCGCAATTGCCAACCTCAACCCCGTAAACCCCAACGCCCACGGTACCCGCGATGCCGTTTAGGGTTTAGGGTTTAGGGTTTAGGGTTTAGGTTTAGGGTTTAGGGTTTAGGGTTTAGGGTTTAGGGTTTAGGGTTTAGGGTTTAGGGCCTAGGGAGTGAGGGGCCCACAGGTGTCCAGTAGAGCCCAGTAGAGGGCCCTCTTCTGGGTCATTCACGCAGATTGACTCAGGATATACGCCCCCCCAAACCCTAAACCCCAAACCCCAGACCCTAAACCTGAAAGCCCTAGCCTACTCCCGAACGCCGAAAGCCTAAAGCCGAAACCCTAAAGTAAGCCCTACACCCCCCCCCCCCCCCCTATACCCTACTTTGTACATTTTACGAGTCACGCGCATCGCCCCAACAACCGCCCGAGCAGTTGCAAACCCCGGGAGCCCCCCAAAAAAGGTTTCGGGAGCTGTGATCGTTAGGGTATAGGGTTAATTGGGGTTTTAGGGTGTGGTTTGAATATTTTAGGGTTCACATTTCGGGTTTGGGATGTGGCGTTTGTTGCTGTATGGCGCAGCTGGGGCAACCCCAAACCCTAAACCCTGGACCAAAACCTAAACCCTAAACCCTAAACCCTAAACCCGAAACTCTCAGTAATCTGCCCCTGGCAGGGGAGCGCGGATGAAAACCTGGTGGCCCTGGGACTCCTGACTATGAGGAGCATAGGTTAAGGGCTTAGGGTTTTGGGTTTAGGGTTTAGGATTGAGGGTTCAGGTTTAGAGCTTACGGTTTAGGGTTCAGGGTTTAGGGTTTAGGGGTTAGGGTTCAGGGCGCTTTCGGATTTTCAGATCTCACAGGGTTCATCTAGGGTATCAAGGTCAGACAGGTTAGAGAGTTCAGGGGGTTTTGATGGTTTGGATGGCTATTAGAGTGCTTAGAGGGTTTAGCCTGGTTTAAAGGGTTTCGGGCTTATAGAGTTTATAGGGCTTCAGGGCTTGTTGGGTTTTAGGCTTTGTAGAGTTCTTTTGGCGTGAACTCTATACTTAGGTAGTCGAGCCCTGTTGGGATGGAGCGTTTTGGGATTCCGGGCCCATCTAGGGCCTAGGGTTGACTGCCATAGCTTGAGGATTTGAGGGCTTGAGGCTTCAACTGTCATAGAGAAGTCGTGATGTTGGGAGGCCCGCACAGCGACCAGGTGAAAGAGTAGACAAGACTTGTCCCCGGCCATGGCTTTGGGACGCTGAATGCGCGGCGGTTCCGTTTGGGTGCCGGCTTCGGGTAGGCATAGGTTGATCGTGGAGCCCGGTCTTTGTATAACTGCGAACTCTTTCCTCCTGTGGCATAGACCTCCAACAGTGGGGCCTTGGCTAAGATGGCTAAGCCATCCGGCCTGCCTGTAGGCTGTACTTGGAGGTTCATGGGTAATTATAAGTAGGGTTATAATCATGGTAAATATATTTAGAACCCTATTTAGGGTACGAGTAACCCTACTTATATTTAGCCATGAACCTCCAAGTATAGGATGTAGGACGTAGAGTTGATAAGCTCAGCCTGCGCTGGACGGTCCATGGCATTGCCCAACAGAGCTCTTTGTTGTTCAGAAAGTATTCGTATCGTTGCTGCTACCACTCTTTCTCGTGCAAATCACTGCTTCCGTTACCGACTTCTGTTTTTTTTAGTTACTTTTTTATGTCGTATTACTGCCGATGGCCGACTGCTATTGTAGATTCCTAATTATACATGGTTTCTGTTTAACGAATAGTTGTATTTTTTACGATTCACTTGGGTACTATAGAAAAGCAGTTGCTACTATGATTCTATGATTGCCATTGGCATACATAGTGGTTCCTAGTGCGGACATCCCAAAACCCGAAATGCAGAAGCGATTCATCGATTATCGATTCAGCTCCTGCCGTGCCGAAGTAACGATCTGATCGTGCACGCCATGGGGTTTAGGGATTAGGGTGATTAGGGGTCAGGATTTAGAGTTTAGGGCTTCTCTTGAGGTTTCCGGTTTCCGAGAGCAGGTACATTTCAGGGGGAGCCTGCTGTATTTACAAGGGTAGGGGGGAGGCGGGTACAGGGAAGCTTGGGGTCCCCATGATAATGTGTGGCTTTTGTGTAACATGTTTACTTAGAGGTTCATGGGACTTATTAAGCAATGAGAACTGTACTTCTAGCCCACTTCTAAGCCCCTTAAGTGCCCAAATGGGGTGATAGGTACCGTTACCAGTACAGTTACAATTGGTTAATAAGTACCCGGAAGCTCCAAGTAAGTGTCTGATACCAGTAGCGTAAGAGCCCCCGACCGCCCGCTTAGACCATGTCACCAGCGACACGGCACGCCACATGTTCCATGTCAGCGCATCCTGCAGATGACAGACACAACAGTGCTCTGTGCCGGGCAGATGCTCCTTCCCACTTGGTGGCAGAAGTGCACGAAGCACTCTGCACTGTAAACCTTTAGGCTTCTCAATCCTACGCCCAATATAAAAGCCCAAGCTTCTGTGTTCGTGTGTGCGCATGGTGTCTTCTCTTTCGGCTGTTGGGCCGTTCTTCAGGAGCAGCTGTAGAGCACAGAAAAGGCAGGAGGCTGGTTTAATTCTCGCTCCATCCGGAGTCAGGCGGTTTAGGGTTTGCGGCTCAGTCTTTTGCGTCGAGAATGGGGCTGCAGCAAGTAGGGACAGCTCCCGGGAGACATGCTGAGCGTCATCACTTCAAGTGGCTGACCCTAAACCCTAAAACCTAAACCCTAAACCTTAAACCCTAAACCCTAAACCCTAAACCCTGCCGTAAGGGGCCACCAACACCGTCATCCCCGGCGACCACCACCAGCGTCCACGACCGTACTAGCAACCGAGACCAGCGTGTCATTCCATTACTACTTGGACTTGTTGTCGTTTTCGTCCCTTTCTGTTGCTATCCATGTGTTGTCTGTTTCCATGTACCTGTTGGTCACCATGACATCGCACTTGCTAGAGATGTCACTCTTCAGGAACCCTCCTGCGCCCTCCTATGAATGCCCAAACCCTTATGCGCAAAATAGCCCAAAAACCTCCCATTGGAAGGCCTTTTGGGCCCAAATGCCCCAAAATAAGAGTCCTTAGACCCTTCGGGATATGTGAACAGCATCTCTCTTTGGTCCCGATGCTGCGTCACCTCGTACGGCCATGTCGGTGCATGGCCCATCGTTTAACGATCGTTTCTGGGGTTTCGGAAGCAGCTCTCCGGGCAACCCATTTAGTTAAACCAGGGTTTAGGGTTTTGGG